TCTATGCGACACTAGATAACTAAATTCAGAGATAATAGGGGAGATTGCTCAGGCTTATGGGAACTGTTCGATCAGAGTTTCATAGCGGTGGCGCGCATGAACTAATCGAGAGGCCGTCTCTGTGGGTAAAGAAATTTTCCCCCTAGTGGCGACGTAGGGTCCCTATGACCGCCAGTAACCTTGTCGACACTGAGTAACCGAATAAAAATTTCTGTGTGTCATCTATGGGTGCGTTTCGGAATCAACTACCGTAGCTGCAGTAAAGCAAAATTAGATAGGGTTGCAGTACTGCTACTGCTACTACGTCGATTGCGAAACGCGCCTTATATAGATGAGAATTGACCGTCAGAATTGAATTGGTCAGTTTTTGAATTCCTGACCGAATCGTCAGATTTATAAACATGGTAATTCCCCGTCATGACCGCGGTAATTGACCGTCATTTGACCGGTCATTTTTGTTACATCCCTAATACCCAAGCAGCACAGTTCTGGAGGGTATCTGCAAGTATACCAAAAAGGCTGTCTAATGTCTGTCCAAAAAGGTAACTTATGTCTAGAAGTTACTTAGAAGTTGACTAAAAATTATCGTATGACTGCAAGATACCTATTGGACGGACATTAGTCTGCCTTTTTGGTATACTTTCAGATATCTTTTGCAAGGTTTGCTACTTGGGTAGTGAGGAAAATTTAAAGTTGTTATATCTCAGGAACTACTGGACCGATCGGACTGATACTGCGCACCAAAGTGAAGCTTAATCATAGCTACCATGAGTAAAAAATTCAGACTTATCGACAAATTTCATCGTATTTATGTTGAATTTTGTAAAGATTGATCATCAAAAACCCAAGTTCTCACACGTACATATAGACATGACCCTAAAGACATCATTTCTTCACGTTTCATAACATTCTAGATCATTTGCTATCAAAATTAAAAAATCGAAAAATTGCTCAAATACAAGACTTCCATTCGGAAGCAAAAACAAAAAGGGTGCGGAACGATTCCAATTGACCATTTGAAACTCTTGTTTTAAATTTTCCATGCTAAAATACAAAAATACATAAAAAACTATTTTTTTTTTCGAATAACTGAGATAATTTACGGTAAAATCTATGGGTTAATTTCTTTTTGTTGATCTTCGTGGCTCATAATTGGAATTGCAAAAAAGTTTTTAGAAGAAGAAAAAAATCAATCTTTAATAACTCCGTCAATTATTGAGTTGGAGAGCTCCGGTTGCGCTCATTTTTCTCCTTTTAGACTATACTTTTCAATACAATTTTTTTTAAAAAACTTGAAATTTTAAAGCAATTTTCTGTATACAGGATTGGCGGATTCGCTCATATAATTCAATTACCTTTCGGCTTAATCGTGTAAAAACCAACAGGCTGTCCATTCAGCCACCGTAAAAATACATGGTCACACCAGTCAGCAAAATCATACAACGATTCCAATTCTTCCTCCCTCGGTGTATCAATTTCCGGATAAACTATTTGACTCAGTACATAATAAATTATGTGTTCCCGATTGGTTTCAACCTATGTAATGAAAAAAAAACTTGAAATTGAATTGAAATGTCTTGACTGAGTTTTTGAGGGATGGGAAGAGATTAGACCAAAAAGAATTTGCAGATTATTTCTACCACATATCGTCATGGGAGATATGGAAAAAAATTCAAATGATTTGTTTTTTGTCGACAATCCATTTGTTTTAGGGATATTTGCAAGTCAACTTCTGCAATTTGTTGGTCGTTCAATCTCTTCTCACTACAAAAAATCTCTGAATTAAATTCAAAACTTCCAATTGTTACTCAATTAATACCTGTTTCCAACCGTCAACACTTCTATCTACAATTTCATCAAGATTTATCATTTTATTATTCTCAATAATGCCGATGAAAGTTTTACACACTGTACAATCAATTCGTCGAATGTTTCCCTCGATTCGAAATTCTTCGAGTTTCAATTCGTTGGCGATAGTTGGTCGCAAGTCTCTGCATCTGTACATCAATCATTATCAAAAATAAAAATAAAAATTATGCAAATCTAAAATTCTTTAGCCTTTTCAAAGTATATACTTTGTACAGAACATAGTAGAGTTATGATACTTCTCTTCTTTTCTTCTTATTTAACACAGTTGGAATCTTGAATCATACTAAGGCTGATGGATAAGCTCGCATTGATGGGCAAACAGCTCCTGTCAACCATATCAGTGCTGACATAACGATAGTGAAGCACGTGTAATGAATTTTGAGTAAAGTTCACAATAGTGAAATGATAAGTGTAACCTGTCATTAAACAAATCATACGTAGTACATTGACCTTGAATTCAATCATCTTCCCCTCGATGTCATTACTCAATTCTTGGCCAACAGCCACTGATAACGCAATTGATAGAGATATTCTATGAACCATTAACCAAATTAGTTTTATACTTCAATGACATATTCGGAGAATAAAAATCATGTGTAACTGAAAAATCACCACAAATTCTCAGTGAAGTACTAAATATATTAACGAAATAATTCATATATCAAGATCGATTACAAAATCATCATCATAAAAGTCATCATCATCATCATCGGAATCATAATCCATGTAGACAGCATTGAATTCAATATCGTCGTCAGAATCTTCGTCCTCGATCAATCCACGGTAAAGCATCCTGTAACACTTGGACTGAGAATCCTGGTAGTGGCTGTATGGAGTCTCGTGATTCAATCGGCTACTACAAAGCCAACAGAAGTACGTATTGCAACGACCGCACGTCATTTTATTACAGCCATCTGATTTCTTTATATAACAGAAACAAAACTTGAATAATTAACTGTAGATTATTCTGCAAATATCTTGAGAATGAACAGGTCTCTTCTTCTAGCTATAAAATTTCACTATGAAACAGGATCTTGATCATTCACATGACACCTCTTCATTATGTAGTTATGCACTATTTGAATAGTGCATAACAAAGCTTTGTTTTTCTGTAATTTTGAGAGAAGAATGTGTATTACCTCAATTGCTGCATTGCAGTGGGGACAGTTATGACTGTTGTTTGATATCCAATTTTCTGACATTGTATTTTCAATAAGAATTTGCAACTGTTTCTTTCCATAACGATTTTCCAACATCTGTTTCTGGGTATCTGATGCATTCTCGTACTCATTAACGAGTTTTTGTTTTTCAGCTATAAAATGAACAAAGTGAATGTCAGAGTTCTATTGGCACTATGTGAATCCCTTATTTATTTCTATTTTTCATAAACTATTCAAACTGGTTTTTGTCAGTTTTGAAAAAAAAAAATTAAGATCAGCGTTGAACATGAAATACCTACCTGAAGTGTATTTACAGGGCTCAACCCCGTGATAAACCATTCTACAATAAACACAAAAAGTGTACTGACAGCAGGGACAGCTAGCCATTTTCTCATTTGCCTCTTTGCTCACTGGATACTGGCAATTTCTCCTTGGGCAGTAGACAATATCCAACATAGTATCCAAAGTAGCACTCAGTAAAGTGGAATCGTATTTAGCGAATAATTCACTGCTAACTAATTCTTTTATCTGTACGGATGCAATGGATGATAATAAAATTATTTTCTATTGAGAAACAAACAACACGTGAATTATATTGAAAAAATTTCGATGAATAAAGATTTTGCAAGAATTTATAAAGCGACCGAACGCTCTAAAATTTCTCGGAACAGGATATGTTGAATTCTGTTTGGTCAATCTTTTTATTTCCAATATATTTTCCAAATTACAATTAATGACCAAACTCATGATTCACTCATTTACCTGTCCAGGATTAACTTCAGAGGTGCACTTGTCCTCAGGACAACAAATATTCTGCACAGCCCCATCTTCAATTCTGACCTCCAAATACCCACTTACACATTCTTTGCAGAAAACATGAAGACATGGTTTAAATAGCGTGCAGGATTCCCCGGATTTATCGATGAAACAAATTTTGCAAGTATAAAATTTCTTCTTAAACTCAATACTCAGACGTTTCTCATTATAATCTAGTAAATAATGTACAGGATTTCGATTGATAAGTCGATCTATAATTGCTCTCTGATCAATGATTTGCCTTTTTCCTCTGTACCGACGATAATTTTTCTTCTGTATTATTTTATCTCTCATTGCAATGGTCTTACTCGCTTTGTTTGTGTCATTACCACTGGCTTCATTAGCTGTTCCTGTCTTCTGAACTTTTTCCAATGCTGTTTTATAAAATGTGTATGCATAATCAATATTTAAATTGTTCTCTAAACCCAAATACTCTAATGTCTCATTCTGTAAGAATGCAACCCAGGTGAATAATATCTCCACTCCCTTGTTTTCATTCCAGATTTCATCCAATTTTTTACATAACTTTGCGATATCTTTGAGACGCAACCAAGAACACCGCAGAGTGAATTCTGAGGGTGATAGAGAGGGGTAATCCTTTGGCAGTGGGACGAAGAGTGTTAGAGGAGGCAAGTGACAAATTGTGATTTTTTCGTCGGCTGATTCTTTATTTCGAGTATCTTTATAGATCACCCAATATTCATCTGGGAGACTTATGAAAATCTTAAAGGTACACTGGTACTGACCGTCGACTTCTTGGTATGAAAATTCTTCCGCTGTATAGATACTTTCTAACGCTGTTATTTCATCCTTTTGTTTTTCATTATTCATTTTCTGGAAATAAATAATAAAAATTTAAATAACATAGAAAGGACAAATTGAAAAATTATTCACAACACAATTATTCCAATTTCCTAATGCAAAATGATTATTAACTATGAATAAACTTATTCAAAATTTATACAACTGAAGTGTTTTATGAATTAGTTCGAAGGGATTTGCAACTGGCCATCGCCCGAGGGCCTTCAGCCAAGTATTTACATTTTAAGTACCTAATAGTTGATACAAAGAGAAAGAGTCTGTTTGTGTGTTCATTTTGCTGAATGAGCATCGAGAAATTGAAGATAGTTTTTACAAGATTGAGTGCATGATGAGATGGTACACTATAAAGCGATGATGTGAAGAGTGAGGAGTTGCAGAATTTCACCATTTATTGCTGGAGTTTATGAATTATTTATGGAAAAAGAATCCAGTCACCAATAGATGAATTTTTGAAAATATCTTAATATTTTCATGGGAGAAATATGCTTTGAGATTGTTATCAGACTTTTCTTGTAACCTAGTGTGTGAGTGCGTTCGAATTGAGACTCCGTATATTTACGTATAATATTCAATTACAAATATTAAAAATAATCTCTGTTCGCGAATTTGCATGAAAAACAAGTTTCAACTTGTAATTTCTCGATTTACTCAAAAATCCCATTACCAATTCAAAATAGGGCATCAAACCAAATTCCTTATTTTTATCACTCACCAATGTTTTCGGGAAATGGCGACAGAGTTAGATTGGAGTACGGATTAACCACCTTAATGGTTATTCTAACCGCCAGATTAATGATTCGATATCAAAATACTTGAATAAGAAATAACAAAACCAAATTCATTGTAAATGTATTAAATATAAGTGAGTAGTTATTACGGAATATTTGGAGAGGTGGTAATATGTAACCGACGACGAATACCAAAGTGACATCTGGCTGATCAGCTGACTTGCAACCATATGTATTTTCGTTTTGTACTTGTGTGTACTCCAACCTACATATAGACAATGCTGGGTAAAATGCAAAGTGCAAGTGCGCGGATAAATTAAACAAGTTATCATGTGAAGTGATTGAAGGAATGTACACTTTGACGAATTATTCTGCTCCACTGATCAAGTGTTGACACTCCGAACATACAAGTGGTTCAATTGGTCTACTTTATTTCTATGTATTCGGCGACGTTACATTCGACATCAAAGAGGATTGATTAAAGTCAGCCCCCTGCTACTTACCCAAACTCGTGTCGCCGCTATTGAAGCCGCCGCGGTGCGGCGCTAGTAGTTCCTGCTCTCACTAAGGTATGATAGGGTCAGGGTTGGGCAAGTAAATTACCTTAGGTAAATTACATGGTTTTTGACCGGTCATAAAGTAGGTAAATTACCCGGGCGAGTTGTCGGCTTTTTGACCTGTCAAAAACCTATGTGGCGCCATCTATTAGCACCTTGGAGAACCGGGAGATTTTTACCGAGAATACCGCCTGTCAGAGTTACAAGGGTCAAAATTCGAAAAAATCATACTGAGGTTATGCCTCGCGAGGGTCAATCCTCGCAAAGGTCATACCTCGCAAGGGTCAAACGTGACAATCATAACTTGCGAGGGTCAAACGTCACAATCATAACTTGCGAGCGTCAAATGATCATAAGCAACAACAAAGACCAAACGGAATAGTTTCAGATTATTTTTTCTTAATTCATGATCATTCCACCCTTATTATTGTTCTGCCTACAGGAGAGGTAAGTGAAAAATCACAAGAGTTAAAATTATGACGCAGACAAGCAGGAAAATCACAAAGGATTAAGAAACAATCACAAAGTAGGTAAATCATAAGGGTCAATCAGGATAACTAGGCCGTGACCTAGTGACTTGTTTGACCCTTGTGAACCTACTTGCTTTTTTTGTTTAAACTTCATGACCGTTGGAGCCTTGTAATTGTACCGCCTGGCGTCCCCCGTTGACCCTCTTATTAGTTTCACCCTCCAGATTGAAGGATTGCTTCCGTTGTTTGACCCTTGCGACGTTTGACCCTAAAAAGGCATAACCCTTGCGATGTTTAACCTTCGCGAGGATAACCCTCGTGATCGTTTGATCTTAACGATTTCCGGCCGATATGTCTCTCACTTTTGACCCTTGTGACTTTTTAGCTTAGCTTCCTTGTAAAGAGTTTTCTGACACTTTTTGACATTTTTGACGCCCCAGAGGTAAATTACCGGTATTTGACAATGTCACGTCATAAACTTCCATCTGCGAGATATGCCCAACCCTGCATAGGGTGCGTTTCGGAATCAACTACCGTAGCTGCAGTAAAGCAAAATTAGATAGGGTTGCAGTACTGCTACTGCTACTACGTCGATTGCGAAACGCGCCCACAAGCAGGTATGATGAAGCCAGAAAACAGGGGACAAGTTCGCCGGAGCGCCAGAAGCGGCGTTCCGGTCGACTTACGCTTCCCCTCATCTCCTTTAGTCTCCCACCACTGGCAGTTTTTTTGCTGGAGGGAACATTATGAAATTGATATTTTAAGTCAAAATAATTAGCCCCGTATGAAATTACATGTACAATGCGAAGAAAAATAAAAAAATGCAAATATATTCTTGGTTTTTCATGTACTATTTCTTTAATAGTCAATGGCCCGCTCACCCTTTCATTAAGGGGTGATTTTTATCTTATAATAGGTGAATTCTTTCTTTTTTTACTGAAAATAATTACCAAGATTGAGAGTGAAATCACTGCTCAATATAATAGCATTAAAAATAAAATGAAAATGCATTTTTGTCCAATGTTGAACAATATTTATTTTTCGCGCGAAAATATCTCGCGAATGTTGTTTGTTTATGTCTGCTCCAAAACGTACTCCAATAGATCTGAACAGTCTGTGCGAGTTGATTCATGTAAAATGATTAAATCGTGTGCAGTTATAAATTGCAAAGCATCTTCTAAGGATAATTATCGTTTTTTCTCCCTTCCCAGTGTGAAAAAAATTGAGAAGCGACGACAATGGCTGGAAAAAAGCGGTGATTTGCTATCGAGTGATCAAGTGTCAAAGAACGATTGTTATTTGTGTGAGGTGCGTAAGTGAATAGTTGGGACTTTTTTTTTCTTTTGTGGCTCTTGAAACCCCTTGTACCTCATTTATTTCACCCCTCGTGACCATTATGACCCTCGTATCTTTTTCAAAACTTGTTCATAGAAAAAAACTTTAAATAACATAGTTCAAACTGGGATCCTCATTATCGTAATCCCATCCCTCCGAATTCTTCCCCATTAAGCTTCACTGAAGAGAAGAGGAATAATTAATAAAATGGACTTCTGATGTTAATTATTCTTCCTTCTAATTAGTATTTCAATCGTCTAGTCGACATGACTCTCAGTCAATCTTTATCGCTCGATCCCATAGAACTATTTGGTGAGAATCATATAGTTTTCATCTCAACATTTTTTAATCCTGTTCCTCTCGATTGAACACAAAATTTTATTTTCATCACGCTGTATCGGAGAAGTAACTTTCCGACACATTGTGATGAAAAATTTTGTTCGTAACTCGTGAAAAAAGTGGTTTTTGGCTCGTGAAATTATATCACTCACCTTCGGCTCGTGTTATAAACCTCTCACTCGCCAAAAACCACTTTTTTGCACTCGTTACGAAATATACTATTTCTCTCTCATGAAAAAAAAAAAAAAATTGATTTGACGGGGATTTGAACTCGCAACGCAAGTAAAATCGGCGTGTGGTGGGAGATCTAATCCGCGTGAGGGGAAGGGACGCAACAGCGCCGCGCGCGGCTTCCGTTGGAACTTGTCCCCTGTTTCGGTGTCGGCGACATCAAAGCTTCACCATACCTCCCTGTATCATACCTTAGCTCTCACAGAGTATACCTTATAAGGGCGAGTTTTCGGTTCAAGTTAACCACGGTTAACGTGTGGTTAAGTTAAGTTGGGACCCCCCACCACACAACCTACGTGAGGGGGATTATTTCTCCTACCGGCATGAGTTGAGAGGAAAATGGCGGACGATTAGGACAACAAAACTCGGTGTTTATTCCCTCAGTTGCTAATTGTGTCTAATAAAAAAGAAAAGCATTGAATATTAGTGTTCCATTAAGACGAGCATTAAGGAAATCCTATCTGCGATGGCTAACAATGACACGTAAGGATGGAATAAGTGTTTTATTTCAAAGTGTTTACAATGGATCATCGTGTCCATACATTATTTTCCTCAATTTTTAAAATAATTTTATACTTGTAGAAGATCCACCAAAATTCGAGCCCAAAATTTCACTCAAGATGAAAAGATGTCTCTTGTCACTATCATCCAGAAGTTTGGTCAATGAAATAATTGAATGCAAATAAACCAATTCTGTATCAAACGGAGATAAAGACAAAGCCTGGAACAGTGTTCACGAAGAATATAATGTCAATGCAGATCGACCCCGTACTCTTGACATGCTGAAAAATTGTTGCAACAATCCAAAAGAAAACGATCCGTGACCGTAACGGTGGTCCTTTCTTCGGTTTTGACCCTAAAATTCATTCTTTCTTTTAGACGAACCATATATATCTTATGCTCATTCGAAAGCTTATTAAATGAGCTTCAAATTGACACGTAAATGATTCGGTTTCAGCCATTTTTCATTAAGTTATGGGATTTTTAGGCGAAAATTGAATTTTCATGTTTTACTTAAAAATTCAATATTGGTTGGATTTTTTATATTTTCGAGTCAAGTTAATGGGAATATCTTTGTATGGATTTTAAAGATCATTTTCCGTTCTTCAAATCGAGATATGTTAAATGCGAGTTGGTTGAATTTTCATGAAGTTATTGACTATTGTTTCCATTTGGAATGCTATGTCACACTCTAAAATTCGCATTTTTGATCAATTATCGGGACTTTGGACTTGACCTGTGAGGCTTTATCATACACCAACTTGAAGATCTCAATGAGATCTTCAAAATGGCGTATGCTAATTTCCGTTCCATCCATTTGATCAATAGTTGTGGGTGATTATGTGTCGATTTTCGCATGTCACAAATTGAAATTTTCGTTTTCTTCAATGTAATTGACAAGAATTGCTCTCTTTTTCTTCGACTATCAGCATGAATCTTATGTTGGTTGGAAAGATGATTAAATAACCATCAAATTGACAGGCGAACTGTTTAATTTTGATGATTTTTCAACGAGTTATGAGACTTATTAGGAATAAAACGAATTTTCGTGTTTTACTCGGAAATTCAACTTTGGTTGGATTTTTAGATATTTTCATTTCAAGTCAATGAGAATATTTAAATATCATTTTATAGGGCATTTTCCGTTCTTCAAATTGAGATGTGTTAAATGCGACTGGGTTGACTTTTCATGAAGTTAGTGAATATTGTTTCCCTTCTAAATGCTATGTCACACCCTGAAATTCGCATTTTTTATCAATTATCGTGACTTTGCACTTGACCAGTGAGTACTTATCATAATTGTTATGGGTGATTATGTGTAGAATTTCGCATGTCACAAATTGAAATTTTGAGATTTTTCAACAAATTGAGAAAAATTGCTCTATTTTCCGTCGATTATCAGTATGCATCTTATATTGGTTGAAAAGCTTATTAAATGAGCTTCAAATTGAGCGTAAAATCATTTGAATCGGATCATTTTTGAATGAGTTATGGGACTTTTTAGGAAAGAACGAATTTTCATGTTTTTGTACTCTAAAATTTACATTTCTTCATCAATTATTATTATCGAGGCTTTCGACTTGACCAATGTGGATTTATCGTGCATTAATAATATGAAAAGAATTGCTTTTTTCTTCGCAGACTGTTATTGTAAATGTTATATCAACATATATCACATATGGGTTGAAAAAGTTATTAAATGAGATACAAAACGACGTCTCATTTATTCCATTCACTTGGAGCTTTGAATTTGTTTATTCATGGTGAAGTTATCAACAGAATGAAGCTGTTCATGAAATTTTAAGAAAGAGTTAAGGTTATAGTGGTGTTGCAGACCAGCCATATTATTTCTTGAATTACATTCTGAGTGAGATGGGTGATTGTTTAATATATAATATAATATATATATACAATATATGTATCCATAAGTAAAAGATCCGTGAGCGTTACAAGGCTTTTTTCTTTGGTTTCTATGCTCAAGTTCTTTTTCCTTTTGTATGAACCATGTATATAGTATAATCTTTGGAAAGCTCATTAAATGAGTTCCAAAGTGATGTCTGTTTCATCCAATTCTGACCATTTTTCATTGAGTTATGAGAGTTTTAGGCGATAAGTGAATTTTCATGTTTCACTTGAAAAATTAACTTCGGATGGATTTTTCGATGCTTTCAAGTGGCTTAAACAAAGATATTTATACATCATTTTGAAGAACATGTACTGTTTTTCGAAATGGTGTATTAAAAATGCGATTTAATTGGATTTTCATCAATTTATTACAGTTTTTTTCCATTTTTTATGTTTTGTCACACCTAGAAAATGGCAGTTTTTGTAATTTATCAAGAGTTTATACTTAATCAGCGGGGATATATCATATATCAATTCGAAGGTTTCATCGGGATCTTCAAATTGATACCTCATATTATTGATTCCAACCATTAGATCAATTGTTACAAGGGATAATGCATCGATTTTGGCATGTCACGTTTTGAAAATTTACATTTTTTTTCTATAAACGATGATATTTTCTGTTTTTTTCTTCAAGTTTATGGGAATATGTTATATATAATTCAAAGCACATTAAATTGCCTTCAAATTGACCCTTGAACTATTTAATTACAGCCAAGTTTCATCAACTTATAGGAGATTTTATCTAAGAATTGCATTTCTTGATTTTTTTCTGAATTCAGATTAGTTCGCATTTTTCAATCACTAGCGTTGAAGTAAAGTGAAGAATTCGTAGAGTATTGTTAGTTCTTCAAAATGGTACATAAAAAATCTGATTTCGTGGAATTTTCATCCAAACTATGGTAAATTGTTTCTATTTTTTACTTCATGTCACACTTAAAAAATCATAGTTTCTGACAAAAAATGATGCTTGGGACTTCACCAGCGGGGATATATTATATACTAATTTGAAGATCTTATCGAGATCTTGCAATTAATACCGTGTTTTATCCATTCCATCCAATAGATAAATTCTGATAAGCAATAATAATTTGATTTTGGGATATCACGCTGCGAAAATTCAAATTTTTTCCTCTTCATGAGAAAAATTTCCTCGGTTATTGTCCAAATCTGTAAGTACCTAATGCTTAAATATGGAAAGATCACATTTACGTTCAAAAAATTGGCACCAAACTGATGCCCCATTAAAAATGCATTGATATTTTCCATTTTTCGAAATCATTTATTGGTAATGATGAAGCTTTCGATTCGATCCGTCAATTTGTATGACGAATCGATTTGAACATCGTTATTGTAACGTCCAAAAATAATTCTTCATCATTTTATTGGGAATTCATCATCGTTCTAAATATTAGTGAATCCAATATTGAGAAATGGCCGACTTTCCGTCGTCATTTCCCAATCTTACTTCGTCCACATACATTTTCCACCCGTAAACTCAACGGAATTGAGACCAGTTAGCATAGCCCATGCTGTTGCTGCCTGATCAGCAAAAATTCAAGCGTTGCACCATACAATTTAAGGGGTTAACGCTCATTTCCACAATCAAAATCAAAAACCAAGCCAGTCGTTTATCGCTCCTCGTCCCGAGTGGTCGAGTCTTAAAGGGGGCTTCTCTCCCTTTAGGAGAAATCCAAATTTCTTAGTGATCGCGAAATTATTGAACTACTGGTGGAAAATGTTCACAAAATCGATCTACCTTCGCGTTTCTTCCCATATAGTAATTCGCTTAAGTCGATACTATGCGTGGTAACCTATCGAATTAATAGTAGATAGCTATCGGGCGTGTTTGCGTAGGGATACTGCATCCTTAAATCGAGAATAGTGTCTTTTCTTGCATATAAGGGACCTTCAATATTTTATTTCGCCTTTCATACCGGCCCATTAATTTATTTCTCTTCAATTCTACACAAACCTCTTATTATTTATCCAAGAGTGAAAGAAGGTGAAGGTTAGGTGTAGACTAATTGAAAGTAACGCCACATGGTTTCGTTGCCGGTGATGAAATCGTTAGTTTACCGATGAATTCATATATTAATTTAAGCAACGAATATTTTTTCATATAATTGTAAAATCTTAATCAATTACTATAAATCGAATAATCAATGCAAAGTCATTCATACTAATGTTGCTAAAATTCCGACAGTAAAAGTTATAGTTCTGATACAATTATAACCTTCTAAATCTGAAAACGTGTAAACATCTAAATACTCAATTGGTTAGAACTTTGAAGCCGATTAAATACATATAATAAATTGAATCAATCTTTTGATTCTAAATAAAACTTCAATTTATTTTTACGCCTGAGCAGGACTGCATAGCGTCGTCCTCATAATAAAAAATAAAAGAGATGAAAGATAATCCTTCAGATTATTCTTTTATTGATAATTCTTAGTTTATGTTTCGAGAGTATTAAAATTAAAATATGAAAGTTGTCCTCCGACGCTGACACCATCTCCGGACATAACATTATCATTTGTGAAGTTGTCAGGAGAATAAAGTGAAGTTTCTGTTTAAAGTTGGTTTATAGTTGGTTAATTCAATTGTCACAATAATTATAATTATTTCTAATATAAAAATTAAAACATGATTGAAATATAATAGAAAAATGGACATAATGTAGGATCACGTAGTTCGTAAGTCGGGGGATTTATAATTCATGAAAATGACGACAAATATCAATTTCATGCAACCTAGGTAGCGCGCGCGAAGCGCGCGATCTGCCTAGTTTAAAGAAAAAGGGCAAGAGTTATGTGGCAACAGAACTTAGCGAGAACGTGAAAACAGGTAAATTTTGCGGACAAAAAATTTGATGAAGTGATAATGACAAATTTCAGTTGAAATTTCCTCATTGAAAATTCAAAATTTCGTTGAAAAAATAATCGAAAACTGTGATTTTTCGGGCAGTTATTCCATAGAAATCAATAGAAATCATGAAAAGTTATTCTTGAATTTGCAATTTAATGTTAATTCAACAAAATTTGCTACTCAATGCCGATGTTTTAACTGCAAGTTGAAGTGACTTAACGAATCCTCACATTCGTATCACTTGAAAATGTTGAGCTCGATTCCACTCTAAGGGGAATCGAAATTTCATGATTATTTTCCCCTTCCCCCTTACTTGAATTCAATGGAGTTCCTCTGAAAATGACACGTCCATTAAAAAATGACACGTCTATGTCCATTAATGACACGTCCATTAAAGTTGGATAGATTTTTTAGAAAATGTATGGCCCTGTTCATGACTTCTTCACTGTGTACGTGTACAGAATTTCTTATATTGCACTTAAAAATTCGAAATTACATTTTCCGTGATTAGTGAAACTCTTAATAGTCTTCCCTAGATCTGAGGAACTATTCAATAGATGATGAGGAGTTACTAATAGTTATTATCGATTGTAGGAAGTGGCATCCAAAATTTTAAATCCGACCCGCTCATGCAGGAAATATTAAAGGCGTTTGGGCGTCAGATAGAGCCCCTCAAAAATCCCTATGATTCAGATGCTCTATTCATTGTGGGTGACGATGATGATGAACTGGAGGATCCAATTGAAGGGAATAAGGACATTCATAGATATCTTCGAGACTCCGGGCAACTTCCAGACTGGTCAAAAATGTCTGTGAAGAACCTGAAAAAACCTGTGAGTTTACCTCTAGCTGAGCAAATGATGAAAATACTGAAGCCTGATGATACAACTGGACTGACGCAAGAAATTAAGAAAGTGGATTTTGTTGATGATAAAAAAGGTATTGAGGATATTAATGAGGATACAGACTTTGTGCAGCCACATGAATTTGTCGACCTAAAGAAGGTGGAGGAAAACTCTGTAGCCTGGAAGGTGACACACATTACTCTCTTAACTATCGTGCAATCATTGAGACCATTACTAATTTTTTAAATTTCGTTTAGGATGAATCGGAACTCCAGTCAGAGCAGGAAAAAAGGATCGACATGCAAAATCAGTTTCGTTCTTCTCCAAACATTCTTGATGCACCTCATGATGGGATCAACTTCCAACAGGAAACCGAGAGCTGTTCTGAAGAGAACAAAATCAACATTGAAATCAACAGAACTAAACTCCATAAAGAACGCCTAAAAGTCAAGAGATTGGATCTCAAAAATGATTTGCTACAGCTGCAGTTGGAGAAGAAAAGATTGATATTGGAGGACCTGAAGAATAAATTGGAAAGAACAACAGAGGGGGAATGAACAAATGAATGAGTAAAACCAAAGAAGAGTTGCCAAACGTTAGATTTTCGTATTAAGTATTGAAGAAAAGTTCTGGTTTTTCTTGTTATAGAAAAATAGATTTATCGAGATGTTAGCCTCTGCACGGGGAAGTTACTATGAAGATTATTAAAATGGAAATATTAACAATCGAAATTTCTTTGGAATGAAAAATTACACGGATTGAAAGATGTCAAGTACAAAATATTTTTGAGCTGTGATTTATATGATTATTACTTGCGATGAGAGTTGTCTGACATGTCAATAAATAACTGCAGAGTAATGAGTCATAAAGATATGGAGAAGTGATTATTATTATTTGATGTTCACGTAGTTTTTATGGACGAGTAACAATGTGCAATCCATGCATTACTATTTATTTTTATTTATATACAAAGAGCACGTTGAAAACCCACTGAACCCATTCCTAAACGTCTTTTCGAAGAAAGTTCTTATTCTTTTTTCTAGGAAGTTCAATACATTTAATATAACTATTTTGTAGTCAAGGCATTACTGATGTTGAACATTAGTAATATAAAAATTCAATTGTTTGATTCTAGTTATAAGGGGATCGTTAGTCATTCGCAATTCTGTACGGAAGAGATCTCATATGTTATCGTAGACATTACAATATCAATGTAAAGAGTAAGATAGTGATAAAATCTCATTCCTGACAAAAATGCAGATGTTAATGTATGTTGCGAGGAATAATTTTTCATGAGCTGTGGCCAAAAATAAGGGAAGAAAAGATTTTGTCTTCTCCCTCAGTAGTACGTTATGGACTGCCAAATACTTACTATTTAATTACAGTTAAGAGATAAAAGTACCTTCATTCCACGACGTGTGATAATATAATGTTAATTGAAATGTTAAGCTGTTCATGAAGTGTTCAATATAATATTTAAATACATCCAGTTAATACAAAATGAAGGATGGTGTTCTGCATCTAACATTATGAAGACTGTTTACCTTCGCATTTTGTATCTTGTTTCTTTTTTCGAACTCCTGCTATTGAAAGGAGTCCGTTGGAATTCGTGGTTGATGAGCAGACGTTTCCAATAAATAAATAACAATTGAAATACATATTTAATTGTTTTAATTTAGGAGACAGCCCTGAGTATTACAAAAAATATATGCTTATACTTTCTAATTCATCACAGCGTTAATTAATGAAGAATTTTTCTATGACTTCGGTGCATTCGAAGTTTAATTCATTCTTCTCAATTTTTTCTCCATATTGTCTTCCACAATCGCCTTTAGTTTGAGACATGGACCTATGTATTCAAATGAGCCTACAAAAAATAAAAATACTTTTAGAATCTAGAATCATAATTCTCATTACATTAATATGGATAAGTGAGATATTCCATGTTGGATCACTTGACTCCTGATCCTCACGCCCTGCAAAGTTACCGATTTCTGAAGGGTGTGATAACTTCGAAAACCTACATCTACATTTTCTGGATATCTTGTTGATCGTTTTATGATGCCTGTTTATATTATTGGTGTTGAAATTTACGGATTTTAATCCATTAGTAATTCCATTTTTCAGTCCATTTTCACGTTAAAATGGGGCTGAATAACAATTCAGGATTCACTAATGAGGGATTTTAGGAGGAAAGATCAAAGAACTTTTTTGTGGACAATTTTATTATCTACAAAAAATCTCTTTCAATATTTTCCCCTAAAATCATTCAGTATCGAGCTAGTTCAATATTTAATGAGATATGGAAAATCGACTCGATATCCTTTACCTATTGAATTTATCCAACATGAATTTATATAATTGAACGGTGAAGTAACTTCTGTTTTTTTTTCCTTTGAGCAAAATTTTAGAATCATTTCTGACAATCCTTTGGTGAAGTAAACTATGCTGCTACAAAATTCTTCAGTTGATCATTTAAAAAGCTATGTGAAATTTGCAAGTTATTTTATGTTAATACTTCGCTAAAGATTGCAACAAAATGGAGAACAATCAACAGGTAGTAGAGTTTCATTTCCTCGACATTTATTACTTAAATTGAACTTTTTATGCTTTCCAACACTAATGAAGGAAATTTGAATTTCAACGTTCATAACGTTGGAGAAAAGCTGTAGGATTCAATCCAAGCAAAATTATATTTGGTTGATAAGAACGCTAGTTAATTCAGGGATTCTTGCAATTCGTTTCACCCCTAAAGAAATTACTCTGACTTTCCATAGGGTGATGAGCAGGAATTGATTGATTTGCCATGAAATACCTCATAAGAAAAATAAACTTACTGTTCAAAATACCCGGTCACCAGCTGTTGTATGGTATTGTCGTGAACTAGTGCAATGTTTTCATGAATTGCATTGTATGCCTCCACATCGACTTCTCGTCGGCGAAAAGGACGAAACCATACAGAAATGTTATGTAGTACAGCAGTAGCAATAATTACGGCCACAGTTCTCTCAGGAGTATGGAATCGCGACCCTATCTCCACCACCGCAAACCTTCTGGCCCATACCCCAAAGCAGCGCTCAATACAGTTGCGTGTGCGAATTTGAGCTTCATTGTACAGATGCTCGGCAGCTGTTTGAGGATTCCTTAGGGGTGTCATCAGGAAAGGGAGATCAGGATAGCCAGAATCCCCGAGGAGAAGAGCATCTCTGTACACCTCTTGATAAAGCAAATGACAAATTCTCGAGTGACGAAATACCCTCGTGTCGTGTGTGGCACCGGGCCAACGAGCCACAAAATTCGTGAAATCTAATCTTGCATTGCAGATTCCTTGGACATTTATAGAGAACCAGCCATGTCGGTTGCGGTACAGCTCACCATTTTCGCCACCTGCAAAAAATATTTCTGTATTTGCTAAAAGGGAATCGGGAATTATGGAAAAAATTCTGAACTGTCGAAAATTCAATTGAAACAGTCCGGCAATTTCAATTGAAAGTTTCTCAATAACAGATAACATATAAATTATTATTGAGCAATGAGATGATCGTTGAGTCCATTCAGGAATGTCAATTATGAGAAATTATAGACATTTCAACAACACCCGAAAAAAAACCTGATTTTGAGATTTTTAAGATCTCAAGTTGAGTCTTTTAAAATGACTTTTCGAAAGTCCCAACCACAGGGTTGGCACCTGCCAGTTTCAAGTTGAGGCTTGGAAAATTCAACTTAAAGTTTTCAAAGTCTCAACTGGAGACTTCCATAAATCTCAATTTAGGATCGTAAGTCTCAACTTGAATTTCTTAAGATGGACAGCTGTACTGAAGTCTCTCTACATTGAAATTATGATCAATAGGTATAAAATATTCAATCTCTTTGGATTTATTACATGTGGGATAAAGTCAATGAATACTCCTATCTGAATTGGAACTCAAATCTATATCTTTGAAAATTTACATGTAGCTGTTACTCAAATTGAAAAATATTGATAACAGGGATTAATTTCTTACCATAACTTTGGATTCGAACTTGTCTACCATTAACGCAGCATACTGCACTGGGGAATGCAGATCTGGCAAACAGCTCAGTCTGAGCTTCCCTTTGTGCTTCTGGAGTTGATGGGAATCTGATGTAGTCAGGGCTCAAGGCTGCTATAAGTGGAGCTACTCGATGGACAATTTCCCAGCTTCCCTGGGAATCCAGGAGCCACGCTACAGCCACGGTATTTGCGTGGCTGTTGCGTGGCTATTAGGATTGTCATTTTTTGGGGCTAAAAAGGGAGAAATGATATCTGAAAACACAATAAAAGTGGATAGACGAATTATTAGTTTATATTTGCACTATTTATAACTTTGTTTTCTATCAATTGATTGAAATTAATGTGAGTGTATATAATGATAATACAAGACCCGTAGGGGGAATGCCGGGAGATGGCGGCAGTGTCGATATCCCAACGGGGTCGGTCAAGTCGACAGCAGTCGCAGCCAGAATAAGTGAGACCCCAACAGAGGTGGGGCGCCACGGTCGATTCTAACGGCTGGGCGAGCTGCCTGTGCCGGTAACTCGGCAGTAGGGCCAGAAGAACAATATCCATGGATTTTTGGAGTGGGGGACAAGCATATGAGTGGCAATTACGTAGAGTAGGAGTATCCTGGGCAGGGAAAACATCTGCTAGAAGCCCTATAGCAGTCACGCTGTCACAGTGNGCTGACAGAAAAAACATTCTTTCAGCAAAAATACGACTGTATAATCTCTACTGCGACTTTCTCTATTATTTCCAATATTACTCATTTGTTTCCCCGCCATTGATAGTTATTGAATGAGAAATCAAACTCCAGGTCTGAGGTCACAAACGGATAAGTTTGAGAAGATCAAACCTCTGATTCACAGAAAATTTCAAAACCTTTTACGAAGCTTT